GCGCTGCAGGATAGAATTCTCCTGAGCGAGCGAAACGCTGCGGAGGTCACGTCGTGCTGTGGGAGCAGGCGAGGCGTCCGGCTGCCACCCGGGTGGCAAAACGCACGGGGCCCCTTCCCACGGCCTCGCCGCCTGGGGGCATCGCGCAATGGCGGGCCCCGCCGTCCCTCGGTGGACCGCCTCTGCAGCAGCGCCGGCCACGGGACTCGGCCACTGGGCAGGTGGCCCCGGTCGGGGGGATGGACTACCTGGAGCAAGAGGGAGCCGCCTAGAGCTGCCTTCGGACTCTGGCCAGACAAGGTGGACGAGCCGGGCCCCGGCCAGCCTTCCACCTGCAGCAGGTGCGCCGTTTGCCTCCACCGAGCGGGCGGGCCGTGCTTGTCCGCGCACACGCAGCCGCGGTTTGGCTCCCTGCTAGCCCAGCCATCAGACGAGACACACGCGCTGACCTGCCCGGAAGGTCTGTCCAACCAGGACCGACGCTCATGCTCGCCAGCCTCAGCGTTGGAGCCCTGGGAGATGTGAAGGCATGACCAAGCTGTTTCTGACCATGTGCCAAGTGCCCACACACCTCTGGGATCTTGCAGATGTGCATTGCTGCTCTGCCCCTGCTGCCCCACGCCTGCGCCCTGGGGCCCGCAGCCGTGGGAACAGCCCCCTCCTCGCCTTTGCAGAACCCCACCTCCTGCAGGCCTCAAGGTCAGCCAGGTGGCCGGTTCTGGGCCAGGGATGGCCGGCGGGGGCGTGGGGAGGGATCGAATTCTCCTGCATCACTGCTGCCGCAGCCAGCGGGCCTCCCTCCCCTCCCTCCCCGCTCGCCAGCACTTATAAAGGGGGCTGGGGACCGAAACCTGATCGCCCGGCTGTTGGGGGCACTCCGTCCGGCCTCAGACCCAGAGGGGCCAGGGGCAGCTGGGAATGGTGGCCTATAAAAAGCTCCTGGCTCCCCAGTGGGGGGGCAGAGAGAGCAACCCCCCGCACCTGGCCCCAGAGGGCTCCAGGCCTCGGTAACTCCATGCAAGCCCCTCCCCTCCCCTCCCCTCCCTTCCCCAGCTGCCCGGCTCTGGGGCCACATCCTGCCTCAGGGACCAGATGCCAGAAGGGGCTGGACGCTGCCGTGCGCTTGGAGCGGCCCTTGCTCTCCGTCCGCTGCAGCAGGCTCCCCGAGCAGGGGCCTCCAGATGTGCTCGACTGCAGGTCCCATGATGCTGGCTGGGAAGGATGGGAGTCGCCAGCCCGCCCGCCCCGAGGGCGCAGCACGGGGGAAGGCTCCTGGGCCGCGAGCTGGCCTCCATCGCTCCCCACCCTCCACAGTGGAGGTCTGCGCCAGGAGCGCATGGGGCCCCCCTGCAGGCCGCAGACAGGCTCCCCCCTCCTGGACCTGCAGGCAGGCAGCTGTGCCCCCCGAGGAGGCTCCGTGCTCCTGGGGGGGCAGCCCGTTGCGGCTCGGTCCCTGGTCCCTCTGGCAGGGGGCTCTGACACGCACGCCGGCCCCAGTGGGCCTGCGGAGGCCGGGCGGGCTGGGGTGCCGAGCGAGCCCCCGTCCTGTAAGGGCAGGATCCCCGCTGGGGGTGCCACGGCCGTCCGGCCGGCCAGCAGCCCGTGGGGCCCACGCGCCGAGCGGCCAGAAGAGCCGTGGCCGCCGAGCTCAGCCGTGCGGGCTGGGGCGACCGATGGGGGAGGCGCGCCCTGCGCGTGTTCCAGGGCCTCCTCTGGCAGGGACTGGCCTCGAGCTGGGCACTGCAGCCAGCCCCTCAGCTGCAGGACAATCAGTGCCTCTGAGCACGTCAGGAGAGGCTGAGGAGGCCTGTCCCGCAGAGCCCCTTCTCCGCTCCCACTCTTGCCCTGCGCTTCAGCGGAGCCGTCCATGGGGCCCCGTGGCGGAGACCTGCTCTGTGGACGCAGGTCTCTTTTGAGGAGCCCCACGGGCCGAGGAGCCCCCCACCCCCCTGAGCGGACGGATCCGTTCCCACTGAGGTGGCCAGAGCCGTGCCCCTCGCCTCCCTCCTGCTCCTTCGCATCCAGGCTAGCGATGCAGCAGAAGTGCCCGGAGGGGATTCCTGGTGGGGGGGGGGCTCCATTTGTCAGGGTTCCTGTTACAAGAATCAGCTGTGGAAGGCGCCCCCTGTCTCTGCAGCTGCCCAGAGCCTCGCCCCATGGGGGCTCCCCCCCCGCTCAGGAACAGGGGGCATGCCAGCCCTGCAGGAAGGGGCAGCGGGGGGGGGGGGCTCACTCATCCTCCGCCCAGAGCAGTTGGCACACGCCAGTTGCGGGGGGCAGGGGAGCGTCTGGGGCATGCTTGGAGGGAGTGGGCAGCTTCGGCCTGATGGGGGGGTGCTCAGGAGAAACGGTCTTGTGAGTGGGGACCCTCGGCCATCCTTGCGTGGGGTGGAAGCCCTGGAGGAGAGAGAGCCCCCGTCTCGGGCACCGCCGAATGCCCCCCTGGGCAGCGCCTCTGGCCATCACTGCGCCTTGATCCCGGCTGGCCAGCGCCGGGCCTTCTGCCGGAAGCGGAGCCGCGGAGCGCTTGCGCCACGGAGCGTGCAGCTGCCGGCTGAGAGGGTCTTACGAGGGGATTAGAGCGGGTTAGGGCTGACGGCAGCGAGCCAGGATGCCTGAAGGAGCCGTCCTGCTCAGCGGCCTCCCTGCTCTGGGCCTTCCGAGGCCCCAGCACGGCCTCCCGGCCCCAGGGATGCCCACGTGCCGCCCAGCCCCAGCCCCAGCCCCGCTCTGTCCCGCCCAGGTGCTCCCGGCCACAGACCTGCACAGGCGCACCGAGGCCGGCACATTTCGCGGCCACCGCCGGGATCTGGGGCGGGAGCAGAAGCCGGGCAAAGACCGTTTTGTTTTCCTTCAATTTATGTCCTGCCTGTTTCCTACAAAGGGGTCAAGGCAGCTTACATCTCCTCCTCCATCTTATTCCCACCACAACAACCCTGTGAGGTAGGCTGGGCTGAGAGTCTGTGACTGGCCCAAAGTCACCCAGTTGGCTCCATGGCCGCGCGGGGACTTGAACCGCAAAGCCCGGCCAGGCTCACAGCCCCCGGGGCTGACGGACTGCCTCTCCCAGCCAGGAGGGACCTGACGCTGCCATCAGGGTCAGAGACCCTCCTCCAGAGGGCCTTCTCCGTGGCTGCCCCCTGCACTGGGACCCACCGGGGCCCGCTTGACCCTCCTTTCCGGGCCCTCTGTGGCGAGGCATGGAGCTGCCCTGCCAGGCGCTTGCCTCGTGCTGGTGGTGCCGGGTCGAGCTGCAGCCGGCCTGTTACCAGAGCGGCTCCTTCTGCATGCCGGATGCGGCCACTGGGCAGCAGAGGCAGAGCAGAGCAGAGGCAGAGCACACACCCTCCCGAGGGGGGGGGGGCGCACAGGGGTGTCCTGGCTGGCCAGATCTGGCCGCGGAGCAGCGCGAGGGACGGCATCCCGGCCTCGCAGCCAGTGCTGGGTCCAGGGTTTTGAGAGGTTTCTGGCAGGACACCCTGAACACGCCCCCATTATCCCCAACTGCTCTTGCTCGCCACTTGACCCGGGGCCACGTGAGCTGAGCTCTGCTCGCCATCACCTTCGCTGTGGTGAGAGGGAAGGGCCAGCAGGCCAGCGGGGGGGGGGGGGGGCCGCTTTGTGGGCTCTTGGGGGCCCTTGCCAGGGGTTCCCCAGCAGGAGCCTGAGCACAGTCAGCCCTGGTCTTGCAGGGACCGTGGCTTATTGGTCCTTGGGGGAAGTTCTCGTCCCGGATCTTCAGAAGGACCCGCATTTCTGGGTTCTCTGGGCAGAAGGGGCACCCGGGGCATCCGAATCAGGACCCTGGGGTGGGCATCTCCTGCCAGCAGCATGCACTGCCAGCCCCCAAAGCCTTTTTGGTCTTTAGCCCCCAGTTGTCTCTCCAGTTCTTGCAAACCCCCACAAGCTCAGGCCCTTTGCGTCTGTCAATTTCCAGGGACTGCTGCTTTCCCCGAGTTTTTAAAGATGTCCCGTTTCTAGGCATGCCTGTGCAATGAAAGCTGCTGAGTGATATCTGGGAACAACTCAGAAATTTTGAGTTGAATGGAGCTAAACAGGGCTTTGAGGGCCGACACAAGCCCTATTCACTCTCTGCCCCCCCCCATGTTCAACTCCTGTGCCCCCAATCCATTTGATGCACCCTCCCTTCTCACCCTGGAGTTCTCGGAGAAGGCCCCCACCCCCAGCCTTGAAGGCCTGGGCTCCCCCCCGTCAATCTTCCTCCCACACAGGGAGTACGCAGCCTGCCCGGGGCTCCCCGTGACTCCAGAGCAGGGACGGGGGGTCTTGCTGGTGGCAAGTGCAGGTCTGGACGTGCCTCTGGACCGCGGACGCCCATTCGCAGACCACTCATCGGCGTGGCCTGGCTTGCTCCCCGGAGTGGGGCTCGGCCTGCCCGCAGCGCTGGGCCAGGGACTTCTCCTCGCATTCGGCCTCGCCTCCGTACTGGACAAGGTCATAGCGGTGGCCCTACAAGCAGTGATGCCTCCTGCTAGGACATGGACTCACTGGGGGCTTTGGGCAGGTCCCCTCAGGCCTGCCTCGCAGGACTGTTGTAAGGATTTGGGCTGATGTTGCTGCTTGGGGCCTCTGGAGCTGGTCTCCCAGCCAGGCCAGGCCCCCTCAGAGGCGCTGGACTACCGGCCGGCAATGCGGCGTTGCATCCGGCACCGGCCGGGAAGCGCTGCTGTGGCTGCTTGCGGGGGTACTCTTTGCACTCCAGAGGCCCCCTTTGCTTCCACCTTGGGCGCCCCCAGGCTGCCCCTTCGTGCCAAGAGCCCTGTCCAGGGGAGCCTCCCCGAAGGCGCCGGCCAAGGCGAGCGCTGGAGCCCCCGGCCCTCGCCGAGCGCCGTCCGGATGACAGTCCCTCTCCGCGCAGCCGGCACGGAGGACGGCCGACGACCCACATTTCAGGCGCAGCTGGGGAGGGGGCCCAATCACAGGCCAGCTGCCGGCCGAGGGGCAGCCAATGGCGGCGAGGCAGGGGGTATATATTCCGGGCGCCCGAGTCGGGCTTTCGGGTCACCCTTTGCGCTGGAGCGAGACTAGGTCGCGCCGAACCCCTGGGGACACTTGCAGCCTGATTCTTCCCGTCAGGTAACAGCCGTCTCAGGCTCCACATTTGCACTGGGGAGCCTGCAGCGGGGGGGGGGGGGTGCTGGGAGCGGACAGTGGCTTGTGCTTCAGCTGTTCTGGGGGGAGAGGCTGTTGAATGACACTTACTTTTCTTGAAATTATTACCTTCAAAAACAGAACCCTGTGCTCGGCGGGGGATCCAGGGTTTGGGGCACTGGCAGGGAGCCCCCCCAAGCTGTGCTTTTTGCCCCCCAGAATGGCCTCCATCCCGGATGGAGCGGGATGCAGGACGGAGGGAGACACCTGTCCGAACACGGCCCAGGAAGCCTCCATCCCGCAGCCTCCTTGCTGGGACCGCCAGGGCCACTTGCATCCCAGGGCAGCAGAGAGTGCCGGGAGAGACTGGGGGGGGGGGGCTGGTCGCCCTCTGGCAGCCATCCTTCTGCAGCTGTGGCCCAACTCCCCCCCCCGCCCCGAAGGATGCTCCCTCCCTCCTGCTCTGGAGATGGGGCTCCTTGGCTCCTCGGCCGCTGACACGCTGCAGCAGTCGCCACTGGAATGCGAGCTCAGCTTACAGCCGGAGCTTCCCCTGCCAGCAGGCGCCCGCAGGGCCCTTTTGTGGACAAAACTGGCAGCTAAAAATAAATCTGTTTCCAAGGGGCTGGTGGCTAAAATTATCCCTGCTTTCCACTGGTGGCAACTGGATCGGAGTGGTCGCGTGTGCGCCCCCCCCCCACCTCCCTCTTCTTGGCACCTGGACGAGGCAGCTTCTGACTCGCCAAAGATTTGACGTTGGCGCTGGGCCCAGCTGGGGTTTTGCCACCAGCGGCACAGAAATGCCCGGGACCCAGGCGAGCTGGCCTCGCTTTCCACCCTGGAATCCCGCATCCTTCTCCAAAGATGCGAAGATCAATGGCTTGCGCCTCTTCGTGCAAGAGAAACTCGCAGGCGGAAAGACCCCGTGTCTGGGCCCACGCGCGCTGGGCCCAGCGCCCTGCCTTGGCCCCCAGCAGTTCTGGCAGCGGGTGTGGAAAGGCCTCGATGCGTGCATGCATTCGTCGCTTCGATTTCTGACCCACTTTTCCATAAAAAATGCTGCTCGAAGCTGATCACAAGAGCCAGTCTAAGACTGAAGGAAAAGCTGAATGAGAGCCACTAGAAAAAAACAAAAATGCATCAATAAAAAGAAATAGAACCCAACCACAACCAAGCCAAAGCCCTTTCGGCATCCAGCCAGGCCTAAGTCCAGCCAGCACGAGCCTTTTTGTCTGCTGCTGGGGAGACCACCGAGCGAACCTGCAGCCTGGGGCCGCCGCGAGAAGGCCCTGCCTCGCATCCCTACTCAGTCTGTTTGCTGGTTTGTTTGTTTTCTGTTTGGCCCAACAGCCAAAGTTATCTGGGTGGTTTGCTGCAGCACTTTAAAAATACAATATAAAATACACCCTATTAAAACATCACCAGAATTTACAACAAAACATTTAAAACAGATTAAAAATAACTAGGAAAAAATCTTAAGACCTGTTTAAACAAAACAAACTAGCAGACACCAGCAAATGAACTGAATGCCCTGCAGTAAAGAACAGCTTTACCTGATGCTGAAATGTAATAGAATTGATGCCCGTGGGGACCTTGCTCCGTTAACTGGAAAGGCCCTTCTCCTTGGTGCCCCCATCCAGGCCTCTGGGCCTTGGTTGTCGTGCCCAGGCAGATGAAGGCTGGGAGAGGCCTTCCGCCAGGATGCACGATCCCAAGCCACGGAGGGCTTTAGGGTCACAACCGGCACCTTGAAGCGGGCTCGGAGCCGAGCCGGAGTTGCCGTTCTGTGCTCAGACGGTCCGATCCCTGTCGTCAGTCTGGCTGCGGCATCTTCCACCAGCTGCAGCTTCTGCACAGTCTTCAAGGGTAGCCCCACGTGCAGAGCAGTGCAGTCATCTATCGCGGAGAGTACCGAAGCCAGGCTACCTCTGCCCAGGTGGGGGCATTGCTGGCTGGAGCGCAGGTGACAGAGATGGCTCAGGGAGCGCCCCCGAGCGACAAACCTGCTCCTGGGAGGGGATCCAGCCCCACCTAGAACAGGTGGGACTCCCTCCTCCTGTCCGGAAGGGCTTCCCGCCAACGGCGCCTCCGGCTTGCCGGCTCCGTCCGGTCCACTGTCTCGGCCAGGCTCCGGCTCAGCACGGCCACCGCCTCCACTGCTGACGTGGGATGGATGGCGCCATGTGTCATCGGCACACGGATGGCAGCAGCCACAGAGCTCCGGATGAGCCCATGCGGCGGTTTCATATAGTGGCCAGATAGCAGGGGGGCAAGGCTGACCCCGAGGAACCCCATCCCGGAGGCTCCAGGGGCAGAGGGGCAGCAGTGGGGCTGAGGAAAGGGCCTGACAGAGGCTTTTAAAGCCCAGGCAGTTCAGGCAGGAGAAGGCGGCCTTCCTTTAGGAGGAGGCAGGCAGGCCAACGGGGGCCGCCAGCAACCTCCAGAGCCCCAGCGGGCAGTCAAGTCAGGGCTGGGCTGGCGCAAAGCCGAGCTCCCCCAGGTTTGGCACTGGGCACAGACTGACATTCAGAGCCCCTTCTTTTTAGAAATTTGCCCCCAGAACAATGTTGGTCCAGCTTAGGCTAAAGCTTTCCAAGGATTTTCCTCCAGGATTTTCCTGCTGTGCTCTCAGTTAAGACCTACATTTTATGTGCTGTGCATTTGAAGCCAAAGACGTCAAGAATTCACTTGTGCAAGTCGACACGCTGTTCTGCTTGGTTCTGAGCCCAGCACAACGTCCGCGCAGCTGCACGGCTGCCCAAAACGCATTCGCGCAGCGGCTTCCGTGAACCCAAGCGGCCCCAGCTCTCACGGAAACCCGAGTGCCAGGGAGTCTCTGCTCCCAGTGCATTTTGGTTCCGCCCAGCTGGACTGGGCGGGGGGGCCGGCGGCCCTGGGGGATCCTCCTCAGCAGCCCTCTCCCTCGCTCTGCCCGGTGCACAGGACCCATCCCACCATCCGCCACCATGCCTTTCGGAAACACCCACAACAAGTACAAGCTGAACTTCCCACCGGAGGAGGAGTTCCCTGACCTCACCCATCACAACAACCACATGGCCAAGGTCCTTGACATCAACATCTACACCAAGCTGCGTGGGAAGGAGACCTCCAGCGGGTTCACCCTGGATGACTGCATCCAGACCGGCGTGGACAACCCAGGTGAGCACTCCAGGGGCAAGAGCCAGCGGGGGCGGGGGGCATCCAGCCAGCGGGTTGCTGCAGAGAGCTGCCGGGTGGCAGGCCAACGGGTGGGCTTCGTTCCCCGAGGAGGTTTCACGCCGGTTCAACCGGAGGCCGCCGCCTCCGGCCGGATGAAGGCCACCCTCTTCTGCAGATGGCAGCCTGGCCCATGGGGAGGGGGGCGATCCACCCCCTTCGCTACATGATGCAGAGGAGCGGGGAGGGTGCTGGGCCGAATCTCAGCACCACTTTGGTCAAAAACAAACTGAATGGCCAAAAGGTGGGGCCTCTGGTGAACTCGGCAGAAGGTTCTTCAGACGGAACAATTTGCATTCCAAGAACTCCCAGAAACTGCAGGCGGGAATTGTGGTCTTGGAGGAGGCGCCCCATCCTGGGTGTGAGAAAGCGCATCCGGGTGCCTCTTCGAAGGCGACGCTCCGCCGGGCGCAGGCTCAAGGCGGTCCCCCACAAGCCGAGCAGCTGCTGCCGGCCCCATCAACCCCCCCGCGCATCTCGCATGCACATGTATGAACGGCGAGAGACCTGCGCGCTCCACTGAGGTTCATCTAACGGGGCACCCGGCCCTGCCATCCGCGCAGGCGGTCGCACACCACGCGCAGGCGTCAAAACACACAGGCGGGATCCTTGTTTAATGCATGGCCAGCCATCACTGCTCCCGGGTGGCTCCTGAGTGAGGACTCTGCAGGGTCGGGCGGGGGCCGGGCTTGGGGGGGCACTGCAGAGCCCGCGTGGAGGCGCACGAGCACGTGCCCACGCCTGGGCAACGGGGCTGCTTGCTCATTGTGGGGGTGCTCCACGTGCAGGAGGATGGGGGAAGCCTTCGCGCTGAGCGATCCCCCCCCGTTCCCGCCCCCCTCACGCCTCCCCCCCTTGCACGCAGGCCACCCTTTCATCATGACCGTCGGCTGCGTGGCTGGAGATGAGGAGTGTTACGACACCTTCAAGGACCTCTTCGACCCCGTCATCCGCGACCGCCACGGCGGCTACAAGCCCACCGACAAGCACAAGACCGACCTGAACCACGAGAACCTGAAGGTCGGTGCGGGAGGGTTTGTGGGGGAGGGGGCGTGGCCCGGGGCCGGGAGAGACCCCCCCCCACCGGCCGGGACCCGGCCGGGACCAGCCCGGATGCGCGCAGCGGGCTGGTTGGGCTCCGGCTCCGTGGGGCCGGCCGGGACCCCGGGGCCAGTGGGGGCGAGGGGCTGGCCAGGCGCATGACACCTCCGGCTCCCCCTTCCCCACAGGGTGGGGACGACCTGGACCCCAACTATGTGCTCAGCAGCCGCGTGCGCACCGGCCGCAGCATCAAAGGGTACACCCTGCCCCCCCACTGCAGCCGTGGGGAGCGCCGTGCTGTGGAGAAGCTGGCTGTCAAAGGTGAGGCAGTGGGAAGGAGGGCGGGGCTGGCGGGGCGGCCCCCCCAGGAAGCGAGGCCAGCGGGGCTCTCCGGGCGCACCGCTGCCAGGCTCCAGTCACCCTGGGGGGGCTGGGTCCCTCCGCAGGCCTCCCCAGGTTACAGTCCCCAGGAGGCATCCCCCCACCCCCACTGCATCCTAAATCGCAAGAGGGAGCTCCGCTGATGGAAACGTTCGGGCCCCAAGTTCAGTGCTGGGAGCCCCCAGCGAAATGCACGGGCTCGCTTTAGCCGGAGAGGTGCGGGGGCTTGGCAACGGGCCAGGGTCTCAGG